CTACTCCCCAAAGAAAACGGCCAGGAGGCGTCTGGAGGAAGCAGGGAGGCAGCTGGCCATAATTATACCTCCAAAAGAAGGATGCACACACGCAGTCCCATGCACACCCAAGAGAGGCCCTTTGCCACACAGGTGGGAGGAACCAGGAGCATCGAAGAGGGGAAGGAGCCGGCCAGCCACACAGCACCAAAACTGGACCCGAGTTGCCTTGTCTGAAGAAAAGCGGGACTCCGGGTCAGTTAAACCTGGCAGACAGATAAAAGGGGGAAGTCCTCGAATCACGACTACATCCAACATGTGTTGCTAAGCATTTTACAACTGTTCTTGCCATAGTTACTACGCGAATCATCTGCAGCCAGTATCACGGTTGTTTAAGTGAACCTGGGTTCCCCATTGATTTTGCCTGTCAGGAGGTCGCAAAAGGGGGTCGTGTGACGCCGGGGCACAGCAACCATCGCAAGTGTGAGTCAGTTGTGAAAAGTGCCTAGATTTTGATCAGGTGATCACGGGGAGGCTGCGACAGTCGTAAGCGTGAAAAATGGTCATGTCACTTTGTCTTCAACGCCACTGTAACTAAATGAATTAAGTCCGGATCTTCCTGTACCTTCACTTTGAACTCTTTTGCAGGTAAAGTTTTATCATCTGCTTTCTAGATTTTTGCCCAAAGGAGGGAAACGTATGTCGGTTAGGCAAACAAGCCAGGAAGAGAAACCTAGAATTACACTCAGGTCCCAGTGACTCAGCTAAGCTGAAATATCCTCTACCAAACATTTCTGGCTACTTCCCCCGCCCAAAAAATGCAAGGCTAAGCCCATTTTGCTACTACAAAACTCCCTGCAGGGTGTCCAATTGGAGCAAAAGAACTCGAGGCCGATGAGCTGTGGTTCTCCCTTCTCCTTCCCTCCAGGCACCCTAGGGGCGGCCCTCTGGTTCTCACCCTGCAAATCAAAAAACCCAGGAAACCTCACCGCCACAGGTCCCAAAAATAGGACGTGTAAATCAGAAAACAACAGGAGCCTCCAACTTCACTCGTCGAGAGAAACAACACGCTCTTCAACTTCCGCGGCCGAGAGCGGAGAGCTGCCCCCCATTTCCAGATCGAAGGAGGGCCGGAGAGCTTAATAAAAAGCAAGCTTCAATTATTGCGATATTTGCAGCTTGTGTTACTTTTGAATAACGCGGAGAGGATACGAAGATGGGAGGCACGCAGCTAGTTTCGTACAGAACAAGCCATGATTATAGGGTTAGTTGCAAGAGAGTGAGGCGCGACTCCTTATTTTGGATTAACACGGAAACGTTAACATGGACTTCTTTGAAGCCCTGCACGGATATTCGCTGTGTTGCTGATGCAGAAATGATATTTAGGTGGGAGAGGGGGGGGGAAAAAACCCTTTGATTGAAAGTAGTCAGATTTTTCCCTCATGTCTTCATGCTGATGAAGCTTCTAAGATAAAGCAAGGTTTAATGTTACTCTTAATAGACAGGCTGTCTACTTGCATGGCACCAAACAGAGTTGAGAATAACTTTGACCAGGAGTGTCCAAACTTTCACACCTGTGGACTAATTCCCAGAATTCCTCAGCCAGCTGTGAGTTGAAGCCCACAACAGGCCTTGAAGTTTCCAAGGTTGGAGACCCCTGACTTTAAGAGTAGAGCTCTTAAAAGACACACAGGTGTAAAAGGAGCGAGGCAGGAGCATTTGAATGGCCCCTGTTCCTATACAGGTAGTCCTCAACGTATGACCACAGTTGAGCCCGAAGCTTCCTTGGCTAAGTGAGATATTTGCTAACCAAGTTTTGCCCCATTTTACGACCTTTCTTGCCACAGTTGTTAAGGGAATCACTGCAAATGTTAAATCAGCATCTGAATTTTGATCATGCGACCATGGGGGATGCTGCAACGGGCGTAAGTGTGAAAAATGGTCGTAAGTTGCTTTTTTCGGAACTGTTGTAACTTTGAACAGTCCCTGGACGAACAGTTGTTAAGCCAGCATTACCCGTATGCAGCTATTACAGCCAAGAAACATAGCTTGCTACATACAGCGATCCCGATTTCTCTTGCAAAAACAGGAGGAGTTTTAGCTGGCCCAACTTGTCTCAAACTGCGTCCAAAGCACACATACCCACACCCACATTTTCTCTATGGCAGCGCCTGCCAGCCAACAACTCTGCAAACGAGCTATGCAACAACTTGTCAATCTTGGCTTACATGCTCTCATGGTCTGGAACACACAGAACACATTGTGGAATGACCCACACCGAAGTTTGGCTTTCAAGTTTGCCCTTGGACGTGGTCAGGTTTTCCCCGTCAGGGCAAAAGAAGCACACCGCAAAGATGCGGCAAGAAAAATCAAATGTACAGGTACAGGTGAGGTTACGGCAGTAACCGGGAGAGGAATTTTGAAGCTCTAGTGGACAATCACTTAAGTGTGAGCCAGCCGTGCAGCAGCCAAAAAAAACCCAACGCGATTCTAGGCTGCATTAACAGAGGGATAGAATCAAGATCACGTGAAGTGTTAATACCACTTTATAAGGCCTTGGGAAGGCCACACTTGGAATACGGCATCCAGTATGTAGTAAAATGCACGATGTAAAAAAGATGTGGAGACTCTGCAAAGAGTGCAGAAAAAAAGCAACAAAGATTGCTTGGGGGACTCCAGTCCAAAGGAGGCTAAAACATATGAAGAAGAATGGTTGCAGGGATTGGGTATTCCAAGTGTGGATTGGGTAT